TGTTGCGTTTACGCGGAGCAGTTGAAGACATCCTTGCGTCATGACCTGCGAAGCAGCGTCATGTGCTAAGGAGAAGAGATGATGGATTACAGCCTGCAAAACAGCGCTGTTCCATTGCCGTTAGTATACATGTCTCAAAGCTCACAAAGCGATACCTCATGGTTGTGAGAGGCATCGAGGTCTGTTCGAACTTTCAACCCGACTAAACTCCGCGCGACAATACTCATGAAAAAAAAATAAACACCCCTTCTGGTCGCAACTCGTGCAGGCGCTCTGCACGGTCCCACACCGTAGAAAAAAGGGAAGAGCACAGCATCGTGTAGTACAAGTATCATAGGCAGCCGCGACCTCACCGGGCGCCCTGCGCGGGCACATGGGTGAGGGATCAAGGTCGAAGATGCGGTCCTCAAAGATCGCTTTGACCAAACTGAAATTGTAGACAACGGGCTCCGCAGGCAGGCGGAGGGTAGGTTTGAAACCGTTAAAATTTGGGTGCGTCAGTTCGTCGAAGTCCCTCTTCACGTGCGAGGGGGCAAGCTGCATGCCATGAAGGTGTAGCTGAAGCAAGATCTCCAAGGATGACAAACGCGGGCAACCTTTTGAATGTATCATTCAGCAAGGAGTACGCATTCCGTTGGTTGTCGCTGACCAGGGATCCGCAAGTTCGGAACAAAGGCAGGGGCCGGTGCTTTTTCCATGAGGAAATGACAGAGAATCAGTGTACCGAACATCTCCAGGGTTGCGACGCGTTTCTTGCGGCAGTCCTTGTCGAAAGCCCACGCGTGCCCATCTTCCGTGATCGCCGTGATCTGGTAGTGGAACCAGAAGACTTCCTGTTTCGTCGGAGCTCCGGGATGGAGAGCCATCCGCCAACGTACGCCAGGCCATCATCCGAGACAAAGGCGTGACTAGCTCCCGACCAAATGGCAAGCGGTTACCGATCTCAGCGCTGAAAAACGGAAAGTAACAGGGGCCGAGGCACGAAGTGGCCCACTGGCGCCATCTCCCCGAGGGTCAATCAGGTATTGACCTCTTCCGCGAGCGTCTTTTTCCAGCTAAGGGGTGTGCCTAAAGCTAGAAGCAGAAGGCAAGTGGCCGTCGCCATGAGTCTGGAGTTGGAATTCGCCTCAGCAACCAGGCAAAGTCGTCCACAAACACACGACCCCAGCCAATCTCCGGAAAAACGGCATAGCAAATAGGAAGGAGAATGGCCGCCAGCCTGCCCCAGTAAACCTGGGCACTAGCATGCACTAGCCATCCCATAAGTCCCAACCGTATCTACCCACAATTCATCACCCAACTGGGCTACCATTCTTGATGCAGTACCTTCACTCGTCTGTGGGCCTTGGTCACGTCAGCTGTGAGGGGGCACCATGCTTCGCCCTGTTTGGGACGAGACCAGGGCTGCGTTGGGACGTCGTGCTCCCCGGCAGTTCTCGTCTGCGCCCAGCCAGTGTAAGCATTGGACACAGTCCATCACCGTTGGGGCTGTCGTTCTCCACCGTGTGCTGTTGGATTCGGAGGTACGCACCAACTTTGGAACCATCAAGGCTGGAACGGACTTTGTCCGATTCACCTATCCCGGCCATGGGGTATGGGCAAAGTTCTTCTTCCGTACAGTGGCAATGTTCAGCCGCTTCCGCTTTGGTGCAAGGACCGATGACCATACCCATAAGGGCCTCTCGGGCCTGATCTCTTCTCGAAGCGTGTTTGCAGAGGAGTAGTTGTCGTCAGGCGGAGGGGCATTGATGGTCCTCTCCAAGGAGCTCCGATTTCACTGGCCAGACCCTAGGCGACTGCGGGGTAGGGGTATCCGCTCCCAGAGGAACCCCCACGCCCCGAGTGCTTGGTCTTGGTAATCGGTGGCCACGTATTGAGAATCAAGAAGGGAAAAACTGCTGATTGACATCCAAGTAAAACGGCTGTCCTGCCGCGCCGAGGCACTATGTGAGGGCAGAGTGAAGTCCCGACTCCGGGAAGGGGTGCTGTTCACTTCCGCCGTTGCTGTTGAGGACGAGGACACAAACTCTTGCACCAGGGACAGCGCCCAGGCTTTGATGAACTGACTCAAAGAGAGAAAGCATGGGCCTTCCCATTTGTGCGGGGGAAGACGTCCCGGGCAAGTCTTGCCCACCCACCACGCGAGGGTCGCACCTCGGCGGATGCGTTTGAGGTCCTGCGCCCCTGCGCGGACTGACGAGACGAGTGCACATCTTGCCACTCCGCCCTCGCAAAGGCAGGTTGGTTGCCACGCACGTAGGTCTACTAAACGCATGACCGAAATGACAAAGGTCAAAGTGAACCTTGGTCAGACCCAGATCCTTGATCCAAGATCGTACCACCGATCAAAAGGAAGCGGAGAAGGAGGGCTCTCCTCGTCCGCGTCAGTAAGCGTCTCATCCGGAAGAGCTTCTAACCCCCAAGTATCAGCAGAAGAGCCCCAAGATGCAGCCGGCGGGAGGGCTCCTGGAAAGGTGCTCCCAATCAATGACCATCAGCGGGTCAGGCAAATCATCCGAGGGCAGCTTTCTGGGATGTCTCGATGCCATCATCTGAACTGTCGAGGACGGTCTCAAATTAGATTGCTTTCCAAAAAAACGAGAACGGCCCTCTCCCGGACCGAGACAAAGGAATGGCTCTGGGCCGTCTGGGCCACCTGGCGTTTCACGCAGGGCCAAGGAACCTGTCTCAAGCTAGAGGTCCTTTCGCCGAGGAGACCTCCTCACAAGGCTTCCGCACAGGCACCTGGATTGGGAAGCTCTCACATTGCGTCGCGACCCCTCTTAGCGGCCACAGTTCCTTGCGCGCACACTGCTTCTTGATGCGGTAGTCCTTGCGGAAGGGAGCCCCCTTCGGGTTGTTCCGGGACCCCTTCGCAGGCCAGGGGTCCTTGCCTTTACCCTTTTGTTAAAGGAATCCGTTCCTTCATTCTTGAGCTGGGGCTGGAGGACAGGCCACTTGCCCTTCCATTGTCCTTTGCCCGGACCTTTCTGCAGTTTTGACCTGCCCCCAGGCCGAGATCATAGACCTCACGAATCCAGAAGAGAGCGTCGCGAAACCTCCTTCAGCGATTTGTCTCGTACACCAAGTTGTGGATCATTCCGCTCTGCATAGAGAAATGTCTTCTCAGCAAGCAGGCGGCGGTGTTCGTGAGCTTTCGCTCCCCTTCTTCCTCTTCCTTGTCCAACCATCCACCGTCACCTTCCTCTTGGTCTGCAAGGGCTTTTCCTCAAGTTCAGGCAAGGCACTGATGATCTCGCCCGTTGAACAGCGGCGAAACTGCGCCTTCAGAAGGGAGTCAGCCTCCAGTTTAGGCCTGGGCAGCCCCGCTTCCTCGGTCCAGTCCGTATGGAGCTCCTGGCGGGTGCACAGGACCTCCAGGCCCGAGATGCCGCTGCGGAGAGGAGAGCCTGAAGCCGCAGACGAGCAGTCATCTCCGTGACCGCCTTGACCGCTTGGGAAAGCCTCATGGCCGTAAAGGAGCTGGTTGCCTCAGTGAATCCATTGGTGCCTGCGTTAAAGCCCAAGGCTCGCGACCCTTGGGCGCAGCTCATACCCGGTCACCCCAACGCGGCACACCCTTCCTTAGCCTTCCTTAGCGATAGCCGCCTGACTGAGTAAGGTATCTGCTTCCTGACAAAGAGCATGGCCACCGAGGGACGTCAGTGGCGTCAGGGCATGGGTCGGGTAAAAGGATCCAGCCGGCCTGCCAGTGAGAGCGTGTTCCGAAGATGCCTGACGCGCGCGAAGCCATCGTCTCCATGCCATCGAAGAGAGGAGTAGCAGAAAGCTTGCGCCGAGTCGCGACAAGGGGGTTCCACCAGTCCTTCCCGGAGAAGGAAAAACTTCAGGCAAATCAGGGAACCCGGCTTCTTCTTTACCACGACCACGGAGTGGGTCTTGGTCTGCCACGCCTCGAGTTCGGAGCGTATCCGGGGACGTGCGGCGCCGCTGGAATCGGACAATGCCGCAGATGAAAGAATCCATCAGGTCGACTTTGGAGGTGGCCGCCACCGAAAAAGGGGGGCCAAGAAGCGACCTCCTCCAGTTCCGTAACAAACTCCCCGGAAGGAACCGCAGCCTTCCGCTTGGGCTTGTGAACCGCTCAGCGAGCCGAAAGATCCCGTCGATTGCCAGGAGACCGAACTTCTGAACACTACTTCAGCGTGTCCCAAGCTTGCTGGAGTCGCTGGAGTTTGTGGGGCGAGACTTCATTGAGCTCGTTGAGCAATTGCATGACATCAGGTTCCTTCCATGGAATCGAAGTGAACCCAAAGGAATCGAAGTGAACCCAAGGTGACGCAACTCTTCATAAGAGAGACATGGCATTCGCAGGGCAAGGAGCCTGGCGTCACCTAACAGGTCCGTGAACGCGCATTGCAGGGCCATTGAGATGACGCTCGTCCCAGGTGGCATGAATCGCCGCCACAAGGGGGATTTGACCTGCCATCGGGAGGAAGAACGCAAGGAGCCTCTGCCCCCACTTTTCTCGGAAGGAGCGCTCAAGCTCAAGAGTACGTTGGTTCGTCTTAACCTCGCCCGAGACGTTGCCCGGCTTCCTTGTGCGTGGCTAAGGATGCGACAATGACCCCGTTTTTCAGGGAGCTCCATGCCTTAAGGTCTCTGTCCGTGAACAGATCCCAGAGAGTGCAAAGGAGCACTTGCGTGTCCTCCTCCCTCTTTTTTCGTGGCTTGGATGAAGGCTAAAGCCCGCTCCAAGAGCAGCTCAAAAGAGGGGCGGCGGTAGAACAGCGCCACCACTGGAAGTGTCATTCCCAACAACAGGTTGAAAGCATCAGGGAGGTTTTGCAGGCCGATGGGATGAACCCCTCCCCATAGGATCCAGCAGCGTCCCAGCCAGGATTTCTCCGTGAGATTGGAGGGGTCCCATAAAAAGCTCGAAGAGGACAGAGTGGAGGTGAGCAGAGGCCCGAAAACGCAAAAAGCGTCAAACCTGCCGTGGTAAGCAAGGATCTTATCAGCGTCCGGAAGGGTTTGGCCCAGTCCTCTTCCGTGTCCTCGTGCTTCCGGTTGTCCACGCGGCCTGCCGCCGACTTCATCTCGAGAACGGCCACCAGCTGGGGACGGCCTCCCCCCTCCGGCAGGAGCCGCAGGGCAGAAGGGTCGGCAAAGCTGACCTCAGTCCGGTCAGAAGTCCGGGGGCCGCCCAACTTGATCTCGGCAGAGGGCGCCCGTGTTAACCGCGATGACGTTCTTCTCCACCTTGTTGTCAATGTGAGGAGAGCACTGTGGGCACATCAGCGCAGCCTCCGTTTGCCCTGGGTCAAGGCAGCTCAGGCTTCCCATGGCCTACTCCACGACGGCCGGGCCTGTAGGGTGCCGCAAGCAACTTCTCTTGTGCCAGCTGTTTCTTGTAAGTCTGGTAGAGTTCTAGGACTCGCTCCATTGAGGCCCTGGTCCACTCCTTTGTCTTGAGCTTGGCGAAAATTTTCGCCCAACTCCGACTGGGTGAGCTGCTGAGCGAGGTCTCTTGCCGACACCGGGGAAACCTGGAGGAAATCCCTTCAAGAAGAACAGGTTCTCCCCAAGCGACCGAGAAGAGTCTTGACGAAACACATTGGCAGTCGCAGTCCCGGCCAGCTCCTCGATCACGACCGGCTCCCCACAAGTACCACGGGCTCCTCACCCGTCATCATCAGCTTGGCCATGGCTTTATGCAGCAAAGTTGCACGAGCCATCTCCGTCTCATCTGTCACCGTGTCCCACTCCTTGTCGCTGTCTACCTCATCGCGATCAACACAGCCAAACTCCCGACCGTTTCATGCTGGAGGCCATCACATCAGCGGCTGCGGAGGCAGAAGACATGGCGGAAGTTAGCAGGAAGAAGAAAAAGCGAGGGAGTAAAACTTTGAAGGACCCACGGTCCCGACACAATGGCAGTAACCATATTGGGCAGACGTCTCCTGACATAACTTTGCAACTCGGCAAGCTCCTGAAAGTAGCTGGAAATGAGAAAACATAGCTAAGCATTGCAAGCAAGCGATCACGCCTCCGCCTATGTCAGTCTTGACCCTCCTTTGAAGTGGAGTCTATGGGGTCTTTTGCAACACGAGTTGTCTGCAGTTCACATCGACGCAGGGTCCCCCAGCTAATGTATTATGAAAACACACTAGCACTTGGCCCGGCGAAGTCACAGTGGCAGCTGAAACGAAAGCAAAAACGGTGCATGGTGCATACACATTTGTTTGTTCCTCTCTTTGCTTTGCTTTGCTAGGGGTCAGAGCCAAGGGGAGTGACCCCCCTTGTTCCTCTCTCTCTCTCTCTCTCTATTCTATTCTATCCCCCTGTATATACCCTCTCTTTCTTTCATCAGGGCTAGGGGTAAGGGAGAACAAGCCCCCCTCACCTTTTTTTTCTGTACCCTCTCTCTCTCTCTCTCCACGGGGCATAGGGGCAGGTCAGTGCCCCCGGGCGCCAGGCCCACCCAATGTTTTATTGGGCATAGGGGTGTGAGAAAAGAGTGTAGATCGTCAAAAGCTAAAGCCATATATCGATTCGTTGAAAGAGCTGACGATCGTACACTCACTGTAGACACATGCATAGGAATGGTTACGCCGACGTGCAAAGGAGTTTACAATAACACAGGAGTGACTACAACATACACAGCCGCTAGTCCCCTGCATTAGTCAGCATAACACACTTCCCCTGGACACCGTTCCGAGCTCTTCAAGACTCTGTGGCGGCGATGGGTATTAAAACAAAGGCACAGCGCACATACGGAGCCCTAAGGAGCTAACATGTGTGAGTCACAGTTCGTCACCACAAGCTAAGTCCTGATTTCCCCCCGAGTTGGAGGCCAAGGTGCAGCTCCCACGTCGGTTTCGAGGGCTTTGTCTATGGTACGAAAGCAACAGCAGCACTCTGCAATCCCCCGCATGTCGAAAAACGAAGCGTCACGACAGGCTCTCGTCCCCCGCGTCAGCCACAGCAAAAGTGAAGTACAGGAAAATGCGGGTTGTTCGGGTGCACTCCATCCTACTATAACGTTCCCCTGTGCACCATTCGGACCATTCGGAGCTGTCAGAACTGAGTGGTGGCGATGCGTATGGAAACAATGGCACAGCGCATACATGGAGCCCTAGAGAGCTAACATACGTGAACTACGGTTTGCCACCACAAGCTGAGTCCTGGTTCCCCCGAAACAAAAAGGGGTCACGTTGCTGCTCCCACTTAAGTTGCAAGGGTTCTGGCTACGGCACGAAAGAAACAACAGCGCACTGCAGAACTGAGGCCCGGACGATTATGCAATGACAAGAGCTGATCCCCCGCATTGTGCCGCAATTTCTGTACCCTCTCTCTCTCTCCCTCTCTCTACTGTCCAGGTCCCTTGGGCCGAGAGGTCCATCCATGCTTATGCGTGAAAGGGAGAGTGAGACGAAAAGTTGGGAAGGCATGGGCTAAAGCCACGAAGTGTTATCAAGGAGCAAGTGGCTACCGGACGGAGGAGCGACCTCCGCCCCCGCGCTGCAGGCGCCCCCCATGTATAACGCAAGGAAGAGAGCCAACAAGGGGAACATCCCTCTATTCATGGATAAAAGTGGTCAGATGCAAATCCCTCGGAAACAACAGCAATGCCATAATGACGGGCCCATGCTCAAAAGTGTAAAGCATGTTATACCGCTCCTATTTCCACGACATCTCCGATGTAGTTTAGTCAGCCATCTTCTCCGAACGGCTGCCGAAAACATACGCACACAATGAATCTCCTCCGACAAAAGTAGATACGGCACGAAAAGGCGTATGCTGGCTAGCGCTCGGTTGTCGAAAACGCCCAATTTCGATCACCAGCCGTTAAGTTAAAACAGCGCCACAGGCAGCAATGGCAAAGGCTCTCTGTCTCTCTCCTGGGCATAGGGGCCGATCAAAGCCCCCGCATCATGCCCACCCGATGTGTTATCGGGGCGAGGGGAGTGAACAACGAACGTAGATCATCGTAAGGCTAAAGCCATAAAGCTCTCTCTGTCCCTCTTTCTTTCTCAAGGGCTAGCGGCTAGGCCCGTTTTGAAATGGAACGAGCTGCAAAAACTCTCCCTCCCTCCCTCCCTCCCTCCCTCCCTCCCTCCCAGCTTCACTTGCTTTGATTAGCCTGTCGCCCGATCTCGAATCGGATGTTGCTATGTGCACCTGTGAACACTTTTCAGCGGCTCCAGCAGGCAACTTATGATAACCCCAGGGTACAGCTCTGTACCTGATTCTGCATGTCGGACAGCTCTGACATCGGTGCCTGGCAGTCCCACAGCAACTTGCCGAATCACTGGTCGGGGACGGCAAGACACAAGGTTCTGGAGTCTCAGAAAATCAAACTAAACGTCGCAAATGTGGCATAGTATTGCATCTTGTCGTCTGCCTCTTCCTCGCCATGCAAGCTGCTGGTGAACCCTTAAACTACTTGATTCTACGCGTGACAGATACAGACAAGTCGGAGACAGCATCCAATGGAAGTTTGAGAGGCTTGGCGCTGCGATGTGATGTCGTCGGCTTGGATAATGCGCGAACGTCGAGACTTAGTAGGTGTGGGCTTGGCTGCGTTGAAGCTCCAAGTGCTGCGAGGTCATAGCGACTCTCATTTCGCAGAACTCTCTGCACGAACAGGCCAACAGGTAGGGTAGTTGTATGATCACGTCCCGAAACGACACTCTATACCGTCTCGTTCAGGAGCCATGAAGCGCGTCTGCCCTACGGTGGACATGCGGTCGTCATGCATGGGCGTCTGCTCAATAACTTCTGCAAAAGTCCTGGTGAAAATCTCGACATCTTTTGCTAGGAGGGCAACAGACCTTTTCGAGATCTTTCAAGACTGCCTTCTACACTTTCTTCAAGAATGTTCCAGTTCTGTTCAATTACACTTAAGTTGCATGGCCAGCTAGTGGTACTATAGCATCTGCAAAAACCGCATGACCCAAAAAGTCGCACCGCCAGAAAATCAAGCGACACCGTGAGTTTTGTCTTCGTGCATCAGTGGCAAGTTGCTGGCTCTTTGCAATGTTCTTCGCAATTTTCCAGTGTGCCGGAGAAAGCACCAAGGGTGGGGGATGACCGGTGGGGCAGACCAAGATGACCAAGGGCCACCCCTCGCACAAGTGCAGCAAGATGGCCAAGATGACCAAGCCCCCCACCCCCCACCGTCCTGTTCACAGGCCTGTTGAATGGCAGTTCATACCTGTGCGATTCGCCAAACGAAAATGGGGACGTCGCATGACGTGGCAAATGTGGTAATGCGTGCACACGCCCCTCTCTCCCCGATCGCCAGTGTGCAATCGTGATGCTCTAGCGTGTAGACTAAACAAGTTCATGCAGCTGTATCTTTAAACATTCTCCGCCAGTCCGCCGATTGTCCATGTCTTTCGAGATTGGTCTGCCTGTGGGGATGTGCACGACTCCCTCTACACTCGGAGATATGTTAACAGGCCATGCAGTAGTTGGCCCTTGGCAACTTGGTAGCTCTGACGGCCTCGCAAGCCTTGGCGCAGTAGCTGCAAAGCATCCACCTGCGCTAAACAAAGGTCGACCCTCAAGCGCCGCGATGTTCCACATCCGGCCGGCACTATGACATGCTTTTGTAGAAATTGGCCTCTTCCTTCCAGGTTGCATGTGCGACCTCGTAACTACAGGTAGTGGCTTCGAACTGGTTTAACGCATATCATTTCATTTGAGCGTGCAGAGTCGCCTCGTGGAGGCCGTCGTCGACCTGCCTGCGACAGACGCTGCTGGAGAGATTCCTCCAGCTCCACCTGCATCTGCCATCCGGCCTACGTGGCCTTGCTCTCGCACCTGCCACAATCTCGAACGTTCTGATTCTCCTCTGCTAGGCTAGAGCCAGCCCGCCCGCTGCTTGCTCTTCACCTTCCTCGGTGCCATGCACTATCTTTGCGACCAACAAACGCATGCTAAGGCTTGTGCTCGCGGGCTTTCTTCCTGGCATGATGCTTGCAAAATACAGTGCGGAGTGGTTTAGTATGGTTTAGTCGCCACACACAATGCCTGTGTGGGAAGGGTCGACACTCACTTCTGCGCTGAAGCATGTCAAATTTGATGGCGGTGCTTCAAAAGAAACCATATTGATGTCTTTTCTGGTCTTTCTGTCTCAGGCAGGACGGCCTCGCTCCTCAAAGCGCAACGGACGACAGGATGCAACTGGGTTCTGCTTTGACATGTTTTGACCATGCAGAACCGTCCCGTCCTGCTCCGGCCTTGCTCCTTCAACTCACGAAACAATCCGACTGGGAGAGGTGTGGCCAAGGTCTGAGGCATAGACGTGAAGCTTTATCTGAACGAGCTGCGCCAGTTCTGCGCAGAAGTGTCGCATCATGACACTATATGACACTTCTGCCACTTTGTCCATTCTGGCCAGGCCTTCACCGAGATTGCCGGCCGCTTCAGCGACCTCATGTGCCATCAGCTGCCTGCTCCGCATGCCCAAGCGCCCTCTCTCGCCACTTGAGACATGTAAGCTGCCGCAAACTTTGTGCCTAATGCCCAAGTTTTTGCTCCAGCCGCAAATTGCAAGTCGTGCTTTGTCAATGTGCAATGCATCTTTTCGAGAACAGTCTGGCGTGCCAATTGAAGCAGAGAAGGGCGACGAAGACTTGCTGGATCTTGAAAAGGAGCCAACGAAGTGTGTGCCGGTTGAGGCGGTGCTAGAAATCACATGGAGACTCAAGCACCGCTTCAGCTTTTTGCTGTCAAGCATTCTGGCATTGTTGCTGGTAAGTCTGCGAAAGTGCTCATGCATTCGCCATCCTCTTCCTTCGTTGCCACCTACCTTTTATTCATGTCTGCCGCAGGGGTCCTGTTCTGCACTATGGGCGACTCCCCGCCAACACCGAACGATGCACGTGCGGAAAGAACCCTGAAGGCCATGTCAGACGATGTGCGTCGAAGACAACACGATGTAAAACAACAGCCAAGGAGGCCAGCAATTTGTGACTCCACCGTTCGAGGTCTCAGCTTTGCAGGGCTGCTAGCCGCCATGCTTCGGACATGCGGCGAAGCCAGATGACAGCCACCAACGGCGAGCAAAAGGCAACGAGAAAGACAGAACGACACGCCGGGCTTAAGAAACACAGACATCCGAAGTTTTCGAACAGTCCTGTGTGCTGCAACATGTCAACGAAACAAGAAACATGGCCGACAAGAGGCCCTCGTGCCCAGCACGGGCTGGATTCAGAGTTGCTGTCGCACGTGCGACAGAAGATTCAGAATTAGTGCTAAAGTTTGTTCTCCATGACCGGCACGAATCATTCGTAAAGCGAAAATCCGGCAAACAAGTGGAACTTATAGTGCATCTTCAAACTCAAATCTGTGTTTGGCAACATCTGACACAGCTGTTCTCGCATTACCTTGCGGATCCCGGCGGCCTTGATCTTGACAGGGCAGGCGATGGCTCTTCGCCCTTCCCCACAGGCAAACATGATGGGCTGACGCAAATACAAGCGGCCCAACAAGGCCTTCAAAGCATCGAAGGCTGGCAAAACGAACGAGGGCACCTGACGCAAACTCGTTGCACCCCATGACCGTGCTGTCATGTTCGCCGATGGTCTCGTCGTAGCTCAGCATCTACTGCACAGTTGAATCACAGATATGCGCAACGCTGGGCGCCTGATCAGTTGCTGTACTCTCTAGCCACATCAAACGGCTGAGCTGCTTGGTGTCGACATAAGTCTGGTAAACCTGCCGTCCAAGTACAGCCCTTGCTAGTTCCACGCTGGCCAAGTTCCATGCAATACCGAGAAGAAGTCTACTCCCAAACCAATCGACAAATGGGAATCCGAATGCTCTCACGGCCAAATGTGGTCGCCTGACGCGTTACCGCTGGATACCGCACCCAAATTAAAAGGAACATTGGGACACTTTGCAGTTGATCACATGTGCACACTACAGTAGGGTATGGATGTCAATCTTCAGGTCTGACGTCGTGAGAGAGGTTGACCAGCGGTCGAGAGTCAATGAAGGCAGGGCCTCCCTTTCCTCCGTCGACATCGGCTGAAGGGAAAAACTTGGCTTCGAGAGAGGCGCTTCCTCAGTGCAGAATACCAGGCTGCTAGGCCTGCAAATTCACGATCGAAACACATCAAAACGATATTCCAAACGGCCTTGCACTACATGAACAACACTTCCGAGGGCTTATGAACCACGAATGTTCCGCAAACTACTTGCATCTCTAAAGTGACCGTGGTCCGGCCCCGGAGAACTCTGAGAGCGAGGTGGAACGCTATGACTATGAGCAACTGCACTTTGGCAATACCGGGAGGGATCACCGAGATCCGGGCGCTGTGCTTCGCTTCTTTCTGCTTGCGCTCCAAATATTTCTGTCGATGGACAATAACTTCTGAAGCTCTGTTGCAGCCATGGTCTACCGGAGCTGTGGCAATTGCTTGGCCTTGTAAGGCCCCACCGTCCGCAATGGGCGACTTGCGGGATTGATCTTAGCCAGCACATGCAACTCTGCAACCTGTCGTCGACTTCCATTCCCCGCCCTTCCCACCTGCACAAAAGTTGCGTCGGAATTCGCGAGCAGCTTCTCGAACCAGGTATACTTTTCAGCCTTGTGCACCTGCGCAGCGGGGTCACGCAAACCATGTTGAATCGTGGAACTTTTGTGACGATGCCTGGCAGAACCATTCCTGCAATCCTTCTTGCGTGAGTCTAACGTTGTACTCAGGATCCTCGCGAGAGCAAATTTGAGTCGCAACGAGAGCTGTGCAGCCGGCCAGCTAGGACACCTAGCATGGCCGGGAAGAATCGGGAAGCCAATAACAAGAAACAAGAAGGGTGCGACCAAGAGATCAACGAGATAGAGAGAACGAGCGCGAGACAACGATGTCAGAGCCAAATGTAAAGCAATAGACAGACGCAGACAGTCGGACGGACAGCCACCCGCTAGCCCCCACCCACCCCCCACCCCACGCCAAGCCATGGACAAGCCAGGGGAGACAACAGAAGCGCATGTGATTATCACAGGATTGGAACATCCAATCACCCCTTCGTGCGTGCACCACCGACTCAGGCATGCGCGCATGCGCGCGAACGATTTGTGGGAGTCATGTCCGTGCATCTGTTGCATGATCCTCTATAAAACCTGTAATGCTGCAGAGCAGGCATGTGACGTTTCTTCGACACCCAGGTTCGGGTACACCGTGCCCCATGCACGAGAAACCAGGCCGAACAGTCTCTTGATTCAGGGCCATTGCCAACCCTGCATTATAATATTCAATATGCCATAGGCACTCCTTCGATATCAGCGGAAGCAAATTCTGGCGATGCTTCTGCAGCGGCTCAACCCACCATTCCTCAGCGTTAGCTTCGGCTTGAGGGGAGCTCGTGAAAGGCCATGGTAGGCGTGGGACTCCAGGGCTGTAGTCATCCTTGAGGACTTTGTGGTGAACCCAGGAGTCGCCTGTCAAAAGCCACGAAGCCGCGACGTGACAGTGACACTGGCCCGGTCTGAGGCTAAAACAATCGAGCTTCTCCATGGATGGATGGATTGCTGGTTGGTACAGGCCCAAGAAAAGGTTCAAGCATGCCTGTCCCGAAAAAACAACATCAGCATACATCAGCAAGATTTACCTCCACAAAGGCATCGGGTCCTGCTTTTCCCGATCGGTGAAGGAGTTGTTGTAGTGGCGATGGATAGACGTCAGCAGCCTGTTGTCCCGTGCCCCGGACGCAGCGAAAGCAAAGCAGTAAAACTGTAAGTTGTTTAGACTTCAAGACCGGTACTTTCTCGGCCTAGTGCCTACTTGGGGCCGATGCTCTTTCGAGCTTGTCATCATGCGCGGACGGCTTCCCAGAAGCTGACACAGGTGAACAATTGAGCAAGTGCGGATTGATCTGTCCAGCGGCGACTACCTGGTACTTCTTGTGGGCGACAGATCCAGCATACCTCGCACATCATGAATTCCACTTGTTCTGTGCACTAAGGATTTCTCGGTGCCGCGAAATGCCGCTTGGCCAAGCGCTCTGAGGTAGTGGTGTGAATGTGCGATTGCACCGCCAAACAACAGCAAACGATATACTTCGCAACGACTGGATAGAATACACAAAACCTGTTGAAATTTGGTGGGTTTATGCTCACCGAAGATATGAACCCATCGACATCCGTCTGTGGACCGAACTGCAAGGCAAGGTGGTCGCCCATGACATCGTACAGCTCGCTCAATACGAAGACAGCCTGCCAAGAGTAGCAAGTGAACATGTCAATGTAGAAGCAATGCAAGGAACGGAGACACCTGGCTTTCAAAGTCCATTTTCGGCTCGGGAAGCAAACACATTGCCTGGGGCCAGCAACGGCATAAGCTGCGAAACACGAAACTTCCGGCTGGCCGTCAGCTGCTGCTTCAAAACCTCGAGGCCCACAAAGAACTGCAAAACCTCGGTGGGTTGTCAATGCGCAAAGCAACCGGGGAGGACCTGGCGACATCTCTTGACAAGACACTGGCTTAGCTGAAAGACGTGTCAGTCGAAAGCGCGCAGCACGTTTTCACCAAGGCAATAGTGCAGGAAGCTCAACAGGGCCCATCTAGGCCGAAAGGGGCAGAGGTCCATTCATGACAGTTCAATGCTCACATGGAAGAACAGGTGCAAACTTAACACTGGTTTGCTCCGTGGAGATCGGTTGACAGCTTGGTGAGTCCGTCTGCACGCATCAGTTCAGTAGGAACCCGCAAAACTTTTCCGTTATTTTTCATTCGTCCGGCTCCAACGAGGCCGTCCCGACACAGCCGAACCCTACATTCCTTCCCAACTCTTCAGTCCTCCGTGTAGCTGAAGTAATCGAGGCGGTCCCGGCGAAGGCCCTTTTTGCCGCACTATCTTCACCAGTAGCCTGCCACCTCTGCCTCAGCCAACTCCCTGAATCCACTACTTGCATGACATGTTTGCTGCATAATTCGCATCGAGCGAGGCGGGTTCTGGTTAGATCCTCGCCTGCCTCAAACGCTCCTTTAAGCAATCAGAAATGGCAGCCCCGAGAATTAGATTCGACATGATTCGACACTCATAAGCATTCTTACGCCGCTGGTTTCGTTTCAGGCGCGCAATGTGCAGCTGTCCCTGCACCTGGAAATTATGCTGGTCTCTCCTATGCCATGCTGGGAGCAGAGGCCAGGCGAAAGATGGCAAAAGGCCGGAAGGAGGGACGTCACATATCTGACCATAAGCCGCAGAGTTGAGTGATGGGGAGGTGTGTGTGGTTATTGCCTCTAAACATCCACAGCCACGGGAATATCCAATCTTCCGTTCCGCAAGCCCTTGGTAGTTACGCGTCTACCGACGTTATAAGCTGTTGCCACAAGCCAAAACTCAACGGTTCAAAGAGAACCTTGTGCAAAACAAAAACACCCGGAAGATGAGGTGACGTCCGACTTGACATGCACAGGGATGGCAACTTAAGTGCTGCACGTTGGTACGGTCCAAGCAGTCCACACAATTCGTGCGAACCATGCCGTTCTGCAGCCTGGACATGAACAGCACGAATGTTCGTTTCCAGGCGGATACAGGAGAGATCGCAAAGCGTCCAAGCAACACGCACGGTCTCTCGATGCATTTTTCGAGCATGTCGGTCGCGCATGTAGTTGCACGTGCTCTGCATTCTTTACCCTGTCAGCATGTCCAAAGCCTCTGAAACTTTGGACTGTAAGCGCTCAGGTGACTCAAGAAAAGCAAGAATGTCGCTGTTCTCCATCCTGCGGGACCGGCCGTGCCAACACGAATCTGACATCTTTGCGGGACGACTTGTCAATACCACAACAGAAAGCGTCTGTCGGCGGAAGTCTGTGCAGCTGCTGTCAAAAAGCATGCAATGCAGGTCGCAAGATTGCATGCAAGAAGCTCGAGCATCATTCCAGTAATCTTTCCCGCGTGGACACCATTCATTCGCGCAATCTCAGCATAAAGCTTCCTCAGCAGGAAGGAAACAAGAGAGCCTTTGTCCATGTGCAATATGTTCCACTCACAAAGGCTCCGACACTTTAAGTAGCCGTCACTTTCATATGCAATCGCCAGGGCTCTCTCCAAGAAGCTGCTTCTGCATGGGCGGCGGCATGGATGCCAAAGTTGCTGCTGTAACCTGAAGGCACCGACGCACTGCCACCAAGAAAAAATCCACAGGGTCTTGAGTACTCGTTGTGCAGGGCTATCGAGGCAAACTCATGCGACCCGGCAACTGCAGGGCCTTTAAACTGCGGTCCTGAGGCTTGGCCGGCGAGGCCTTGCCCACGACCATGCCCTAAGGCCATCCTCAGCCACTTTGGATGTACCGAGAAGCATCTCTTGGTTATAAGCAAAGTCGAGTTAAGCTGAGTGTCGGAGGCGGGCCCCGCATTCCATTTTGGGCTGGGCCCAGCCCGCCCAGCAGACCAAGCGGTGGCGGAATCATCGGAGAGACGCCGCAGCCACCGCCGCAGCCACAGCCGCCGCAACCGCCGCAACCGCCGAAGCCACAGCCACAGCCGCCGCAGCCGCCGAAGCCACAGCAGCCACCGCAGCCGCCGCCACAGCCAGCATAGCCTTTGGACACAGCAAGAAACAGAAATGTTCCTTCGGCACGCGGACCCAAGGTGTAGGGTGTTTGTCCACAGCCATACACAGGAAAGCCGATGGGCTGCGAAGGTCATTATGGTACACTCAACAACCGTATCTGATGCCATGTTTTGCCACAAGCGCCACTACAAAGCCGCCTTCGATGCTCTGATTTACCACTCAATCACTGTATGCCATGCTCTATGCCAAAGTGCCCTCAGAGCCAACATACAAATGCAAATTTTATCTGTTGGGGTCTTGTTATAATAAAAACAGAAAATATTTCCGAAGAACACTCAAGATTTGACGACCAAGAACGTTTATCCGATATTAACCGATGCTCCATTATTATACCACGCAAAAGCCCTCTTATACCACCCCAAAATATCATATCCGTTGTTACGACTGACAATACCAACAAAACTGTATCCGATGCTCTGTCTTACCACGAAAGAAGTATT